GTGTAGGGACTAAGAAGATCACCAATGTAAGATGGTGCTTGTCCATGTAAGGCCCTATAGACCAGAACCAGGATCTTGAAATGAACCCTGAAGTTGACTGGCAGCCAGTGAAGCTGGAGGAGAAGCGGGGTGATGTGGGTGTGTTTGGAGGACTTGGTCAGAAGCCGAGCACAGGCGTTCTGAACCACCTGTAGACGGTTCAGGGAGGTTCTGCTCAGACACGTGAAAAGAGAGTTACAGTAGTCTAAGCGTGAGGAGATGAAGGTGTGGAGAACTGTCTCAAGTTCAGAGCGGGACAGAATGGGACTCAGCTTAGCAACGTTCCTGAGATGGAAGAAGGAAGAGCGAACAAGAGAACTGACATGAGAATCCAGGGTGAGAGCTGGGTCAAAGGTCACTCCAAGATTCCTGACGGAAGGTTTGGTGTGGGAAGCAAGCTGACCAAGAGAGTCTCTGACTTTGGGAACCAGCTTGTCTGGGGCACAGATGAGGATCTCAGTCTTATCTTCATTCAGCTGAAGAAAGTTCCCACCATCCAGGTTGTGATAGAGTCTAAGCAGGTGTGTAACAGCTGCAGCTTAGACATCTCATGGGGCTTAAAGGAGATGTACAGTTGGATGTCATCTGCAAAAAGATGGTAGGAGATTCCTTTGAAGGAGCTCAGGATGTGCTGAAGAGGAAGCAGATAGAGGAGGAAGAGCAGAGGCCCCAGCACAGAACCTTGTGGGACACCATGGGTAAGGGAGGTGGTGGAGGACCTAAACTTGGAGACGGCCACAGAAAAGGAGCGCTCAGAGAGATAAGAGGAGAACCACTCCAGAGCAGATCCTGATAGGCCTACCCAGTCTCTCAGCCTCTCCAGTAGCAGGTGATGGTCAACAGTGTCAAAGACTGCAGTCAGGTCCAGCAGGACCAGAACAGAACAGTCTCCTGCATCACTGTGGGTCAGAAGGTCATTAGAGACCCTAAGAAGAGCTGTTTCAGTAGAATGAGCTCTACGAAAACCTGACTGGAAGCTATCATAGATGTTATGTTCATCAAGAGCAGCTGTGAGTTGTTTAGCCACAACCTTTTCCAAGATCTTGGAGATGAACGGAAGTTTAGAGATGGGTCTGAAGCTGCTATAGAGAGAGGGGTCGAGACTCTGTTTTTTAAGAAGCGGGTGGATTACAGCGTTCTTAAAGTAAGCAGGGACCTGACCAGAGACCAGAGAAGCATTAATTATAGAGAGCACGCTGGGACCGATGGACTGAAAAGCACTTTTAAACAAAGATGAGGGTAAGATGTGGAGGGGGCATGCAGAGGTCTTCATAGAGTTAACTAGTTTGGTTAACTCAGGCAAAGAAACAGGAGCAAAGCTATCTAGGATGATGGGCCGGGTTGGAGTCGGGAGAGGCGGCGATAAGGCTGAAGGAGAGATGCTAGATCTAACCTTATTGACTTTGTCCACAAAGAAAGACAGAAAGTTCTCACAGTCTGCAACAGAGTGGATGGAGGCTGTAGGAGAGGCAGGAGAGACGATGCTGCTGATGGTGTTAAACAGCACCTTGGGGTTCCCTTTGCTCTGGGACACCAGGTTGGAGAAATAGGAAACCCTAGCGTCTCTGACTGCAGAGTTAAAGGATGTCAGAAGATCCTTTAGGTGCAGCAGATGGACGTGGAGATGGGTTTTCTTCCACAAACGCTCAATTTTTCTGCATTGGCGCTTCAGGCTGCGAAGGCTGTCATTAAAGCAGGGAGTAGGGTTCACTGCAGGACCTGATCTGGTTCTGACAGGACAGATGTTGTCCAGAATGGAGAGGCAGTGCTCGTTGAACTGACCCCGGCTTTCCACGGGAGCCGTCAGCAGCACGTTACTGCAGCAGCACGTCATAGCTGCTGATAGGAACCGCTGTGGTCAACAGAACCTTTTCCACCGGAGCCGTCAGCAGCGCGAGTCGGCCGCGTCTCAGGAGCAGCATGTCACGGCCTTTACGCGCCGGTTCTATTTTCTACGCGCGACGCCTCTGAAACGGGTCAAGTTCGACATTTTTGGGGAAGGAAAGACAGGAAATCGGACGCGGAAATGGAGAGAAGCTACAGAGATTTTCAGAATAAAGAACGTGCTGCCTTCCGGTTGCTTTACTTTTAAAAAAAGTTACTAACTCTGCGTCCACGTGAGAAGTTATCACCTAGCTAGCGGTCTCCTTCGTTTTTCAGGTCCGTATTGGCGATTATAAAACGGACAGAACATAAAACACAAACCATGTTGTAGTTTTCTCCTGCTTGTTGTTGTGTTTACTGACGAAGTCACTCGTGTGACTTCGTGCTCGGTCGGTGACAGCTGCTCCCCTGCTGCTTCGCGTCTCGTGGGAAGGGCCAAGCAGCAGCTTACGCGAGGAAGACGTGCCGCTGCAGTAACGTGCTGCTGACGGCTCCCGTGGAAACCCGGGGTGAGAAGTTAAGGAATCTGGGTCTTTATCCGAAAGAAGAACAGGGTGGATAGAAGGCAGCAGAAAAATGGCTAGCTGTGCTCTTATTAAGAAAACGAGAACTAACCATACGGCGAGCAGGAGGTGGGGACGCAGAAACTGGCAAGTTAAAGAAAATCTAATGGTGATGAGAAATATAAACGTCCTCAGGACAAACACTGTCAGCATTTAGACTCAGGGTAAAAACAAGGTCCAGAGTGTGCCCGCTGGTGTGTGTGGGGCCAGAAACATGCTGGGTACAGCTGAAGGAGTCCATAAGGCTGTGCACTTGGTGTTCTGTCCATAAACAGATGTGTAAGATGCTTGCTGATGAGGCTATAGTCAAGAATGTAGTTATTGTACACCTGTGCAAGGACAATAAAATGATCTTGAACCTTGAAGAGGTTCGAGACTTTGCTTCGAACAGACTCATGACCATTTTAGTATTGTGCCAGAGGCTGAATGCACACTCAGCTGCCAAAGCGGGTGCTTGAATCGGTCTTTGTCAGATGACTTATTGGGCGCTGTTGTGTGATGGGCTGTCAGGCTATCTTCACAAGAAGGCTAAAAAGTGAAATGTAGGCAGGGGTCGTATTAACTGAATATTTTCCGTACTTCACCGTTTATTTTGACGGAAAAATCTCAAGGCTGTTGGTCATTTTGACAGAATTACCCCAGCACATGCAGGTGCAGACATTTTAAACGTTACACACAGAGAACATCTAAGAGGTAACAACATCAATCAAGTAAAGATTCCCATCAGAACATCTGAGCATTATCTCAGACCTGGACGCCGTGATCAGCATCAGCGCGCTGGGGAGCTGTGGAGAGCAGCTCGGAATGCGTCTGTGGGTCACAGGCCAGACCCAGAACCAGAACGCGGCAGGTGAAACGTTCCTACTTTAAGCAAAATAGTTTAATGGTAACATTTCTGGACAGGCTGGTCAGCTTGTAAAATACATTAAATTTAAATTAGATACAATTTTTATTTATTATTATTTGATAAATCAAGATGATGGGAAGAAACAATGACCGTTTTTTTTTTTTTACTCTGTTGGTCAGAATGACAATTAGCATGTCTAGTGCCTATTGTCTCTGAGCCTGCTTCACTTATATAGATATTAACTTGTTTAATTAAGGCCCATCCAAAACTGAAAACCTGCCTGTGCTTAGTAGAGTAATGTTTTTGGACGGCTAATTTGACTTTTACCCGATTACAAATATGTTGAAGTAGTGCTACACTTACTCAAGTGATATATGTTCTACAGTAATGAAAAGTTTGAGCTTCAGTTGTTTCCTTTGAGGTCGTGAGGATCAACATTGTCAATTATAGAAGCAGAAACTAAAATGTTGTGTTTATGTTTTTGTTTACTTTCTCCAGCGAGCGTCCTGCTCATCATCAGTAAAAGTACCTGTCTGAAACCAGCACAGCTAATGATGAACCATTCGTCACATTTGACTTAATGATGGTCGCTGAAGGAGATTATGGCTCCTAGCTGCTGATGTGTGATATGATTTCTGTTAGCATCACTGCCTCTCAGATATTAATCACAAGAGTTGTCTTTGAACTTGATAGTAAAGGAGGGAGGATCTTTTTAAAGTTAGTTCTCATTCTGGTTATCACTTTTCGTCAACACATGTTGTCAGTAGTTCACCTCCACCTAGATGTACCCAGGTGTTTCCTTATGCGGTGACATCGCAGCTTGCTCAGATGTATTTCAAGGTTCAAGGTTGTCTTTATTAATCCCCAAGGGGGAAATTTAATTGCCTTGGACAAGTAAACACAACATGCACATCCATACAATAAAACATTCACTGGTCCTGATAAAATATAAAAATATCAAATATACAATCATACGAAATGGTCATTGTAAAAACGCACTGCAGCTGGAATAAAAGAGTTCCTAAAACGTTCAGTGGAGCACCGGGGCGTTAACATTCGCCCACTGAAAGAGCTCCCGAGATCCTTAAAAATCTGGTGAAGGGGGTGATCCTCCAGAGTCATAACTGTCTTACGTTTACGCTTCATCCTTTTGTCGATGATCATGTCAAATGAGTCCAAGCATTGCCCAACCACTGAGCCAGATTTCTTGATCATTGTGTTGATCCTGTTTTTGTCCTCAGCAGTGAGGCTCCTGCCCCAACACAACACAGCATAAAACAACACACTGGCCATAATCCCCTGATAAAACACATTCAAGAGCCTCCTACTTATATCAAAGGATCTTAGCTTCCCAAGAAAAAACAATCCGGACTGGGCCTATTTAACAACAGTGTCCTTTGTCCTTCTGGACAGAGCTCATGCTCATTTATTTGGGTAAAATTGGACTGAAGGAAATTTAAAATGGGTGCTTGATGAACAGAAAGTTCACTCCCGGCCACCATGAGGCTTTAGGAAGTTTTGTGTTTTTGTCTGAAACTCCTTCATAAAGCTCTCTTTATCCTGTCACTTTGTGAATTATCAGCAGCACTTCTCCTGAATCCTCTGTTCCCTTTCTAAATGCTTATATTGAGTTTTTCTCTCTCCTTCTATATCTCCTCTCTTGACAGATGATAGACAAGAGGCCGCATTGAACCTGTCTACCAACGGCATTAGCAGCATCAACATGTCAATAGAAATAAATGGAGTTGTCTACACAGGTAAATAGAGGGGCTGTTGCTGGTGTAATTGCAGGCAGGAAATTCAATAAGTTATAGCAGCACCCTGGTGCTCAGTCTTCTCTGCATTTTCATGTCTTTGCTATAAAATCCATCATGATGAGGTGGTAGCCCAATAGTTTAAAACGTTAAATATTAATAAATTACGCCTGCTGTGTGTGTGTGTGTGTGTGTGTGTGTGTGTGTGTGTGTGAGTGTGTGTGTGAGGGAGAGAGACAGAAATAGAGACAATAAGAGAGTGTGTTTATGTGCTTCATGCTCCTTCAGTGATGTAAAAAGGGTTAATGTGTATATCAGACACAGTTTCAGTATTTAGCGCATGGACGTAATTTTGGGGGGGGACAGGGGGGACATGTCCCCCCCACTTTTTCCAAAATCAAGTTTTGACCCCTGCACTTTTTACCATCCAAAAACAATATTACGCTATATTAAATTGACACTGGTTGAGCTCTAAGACCAAGCGGAAAACAGCTGTTTGTGTTGAAACCTGTTTCCCATTAGAGCATACTGTAAAGACCCCCCCCCCCCCCCCCCGTGTCCCCCCCCACTTCTCAAGTGAAAATTACGTCCATGATTTAGCGACTACGGTGTTTACAGAAGAAGATCAAAGTAAAGCAGAAAAGATGAAGTTAGCAGTGAAGGTAGTGTCCTGGCTTACCATACATTGCATCATTCCAATCTTTCTTGATTGATCAAGGCGTGCCATGGCTAGCTGTCTTCTTTAACTTACACCTGCCGGGTGCTGGACCCGAGCCTAGTGCTTGTTTTTATGAACCTGGTGAAAACTTGGAGGAAGTGCAGCTAGGAGATCACGCCAACGTTTACAAGCCAAACCATGCTTTAAGAGAAGCCTTATTCTCTCCTGCAGTCTATCGTCCACCTGATCCAAACAGTTCTTTCCTTCAGGAGTTTAGTAACTCTTTATCCTCCATTGTGAAGCTGTGGACTGGTGATTGTTGGTGGTTTGAACAGAGATAGATAGACAGATAAAACTTTATTGTCTGTGCCCCAAAGACATTACAGAAATGTCCCTTTTGACATGGCTCATAGAACAAACAGACCACACAACTACTTCACTTTGTTTAGAATAAACTGCTGAAGCTATAAAAGATGTCTTGTATACATTCTCCCAAGCCAATGGGGTTGTATACAGCCTGCCAATGTCAGAGGTCAGACACTTAAATTACCAGCAGTTTCTTCTGCCAGGGTCATTGTGTTTGGGAGGAGGCTGTTTGGGCTGGAGGGAGGTTGTCAGGTCTGAGGTGGAGGTCAGGCTCGAGAGTCCTTCCAGGAGGGGAGAAGCGAGTGCGAGGTGAGTGGTGGACAGTGGGTCGGTCTGGCTGAGCAGGGGAGACGTGGATGTTGTACCAATTAGTTGTGATAAAGAAAGAGCTGAGCCGGAAAACTAAGCCCCATTCTACCGTTGAGCTGCAGTTAGCCAACAGGCAGAAGGTGTTCTGTCAGCTCCAAACTGCAGGGTCCAGTAGCAGGGCTGATGTTTCTGAGGTGGGACAGAACCAGGCGAGTGATTTGCACTCAGAGGCTGAGTCGTTGGCTGAGAATTGTTCTTGAAGATTCTCAGACTACAGAGAGTTAGCACGTCTCACCTCCTGTGTGGTTTCTGAATGTGAGACTGAGCTTATTACCTTTCAGTTTATGTTATTGTTGGATTCACTGATTAATAATTGTGTGTATTTGTGGTTTATGTGGCAATTGTGAATTTTATACAACAATGAATAGAGAACAAATCAGTAGCTTAAAAATGTTTTGCTTAAAAATCTGATGTTGGTCTCACATGGTTACACTGCAGTAGATGTGTGTTTGATCCCAAACACCACTGAAATCATTTAAATGGTTCACAATATAGTAGGCATGTTTGAAAGGGAGTGGGGGGAAGCCAAGCTTACCCACCCCTATTTTTCACTAATAGTTTAACATTCAATATGTAGAAAAAACTCAGATTCAACAACCTTATGACCAAAGAAAATCGTAATCATAACAATAATAATAATGGTAGCCTAGACAATTTAACAATTCTTGTCAATATCATGAATTACATATTCCCATACACCTTTACTCACATCATCGCCCATTCTCATTTCTAATGTATTTTAACCAAGCTGTTCTTCTGTGGTGTGCTTTAAAAATCTGAATATTTTGACATTGTTTGTGATCAGTCTTTAAGTTATTCCATATTTTTATCCCACACACACACACACACAGAAGCTTTCACGTGTTGTTCGCACCAGTGGTGATTTAAATATTTTATAGTCTAATAAATTAATCCTGTTACAGTGTTGTGTTTGTTGAGGTACTTCATACCTACAGGTAATTCAATTAAATTCAAGTTTATTTATAAAGCGCCAAATCAGGACCAGAGTCGTCTCAAGGACCTTCACACAGTAAACATTCCAACACAGGTCAGGTCATTAAGCCAGTTAGTAAAAGGTTTCCTAAATAAGGAACCTAGCAGGTTGCATCGAGTCACTGACTAGTGTCAGAGTCTTTACAGACTCCCTCATACTAAGCAAGCATGCAGTGACAGTGGAGAGGAAAACTCCCTTTAAACAGGAAGAAACCTCCAGAGAATCCTGGCTCAGTATAAGCAGCCATCCTCCACGACTCACTGGGGATGGAGAAGACAGAGCACACACACACACACACACACACACACACACACACACACACACACACACACACACACGCATATCTACACAACATATATACAAAGTAGTGTTTCTATGGTTACATTGTGATTTGTTAAAAAATATTCTATTTAAACTTTATTGTACAGGTCCTTCTCAAAAATTAGCATATTGTGATAAAGTTACACAATACAATACAACACAATACAATAATACTTTATTAATCCCAGAGAGAAATTAGAGTTTCAGTACACACAATTCTGAGATCAGACATACATACATACACGACAATAATTGGTGACTGTGGTCATTCGTAACCCGAGTTGCGCTACCGTAATAGATCAAGAGGGTTTATATGAGGATAGAGTCTGGGGGAGGGAAAAAAGGCACTTCAGAGTTACTCTCACCCGAGGGGGTAGCTTTGCTATACAAAAAAAACACCCAAGACTGATATGCACACACTTCAGACATTACACAACATAAGTGTCCACTAGGTGGGGAGGTAGGGTTGGGACTCTCCTCACTTCGGTGCATGCAGCCACATGGAGCAGCGCTTATCACCTCCGTTTGGACAGGGGAGGGGGATAATGGGTTAGAGGGCACAGTGACTCCTAGATACGGTTCCACGGCCTTCACCGATCACAGTCCCGCCCAGGCTGTGATAGGGAGAAAGAGTTGCCTAGCGACTGCAGCATTCCACATTTCTTCTGAGGGGGGAGTTTTTACTTCAGCCTCACAGGCTCAAGGGCACCAGATTCAGATAAGAATTGTTTTGGGACAGACAGAGATAATGTCCTCTCTGTCTTAGACTTCTGTTGGTCATCAACCCCTCTAGATCCAATAATGGCGTAATTAATCTATCCCAATCCGTGCTGATTCGTCCACAACTCTGTCCTTGATGGAGTCCCCCTTCTGTGCCAGAGCCTGAATCTCAGCCAAAGTTCCAAGCTTACGACTCACCTCGGCAATTATATGACTTATATGTGCGGTCAAAGCGTGATGCATTCCATTCCTGAGCTCCGGGATTGAGCCAATATTCCTCGAAAGCTCGTTAATTTTCCGGTAAGCCAGGTAACCGCTCAGGCCAAACAGCAGGAACCCCGACACCAAAACCACGACTATCCAGATATCTTCAGAATCCTCTACAGACAGTTGAGAGAGGCAGATCAGGTTCCACTGTTTCCAGGAGTCCATGATCTACCCAGCTGGCTCTGTCCCAGAGGGGCATCCGGGAGCCCCTTCTCCCGTTCTCATCGTTGAAAAAATTTTGTCAGTTGCATTGAGTGACCAGCTAACCAGATCCCTTTTTAATAATTTCCAGTTTCCAGAAAAAATGCAGAAGCGCCTTGCACACAAGACAGGACAAAGAGCCTTGGGATAAGAGGGAGGGAGAGGAGAAAAAAGCGACTGTACTCTCCAAGAGCCGGAAGACAAACAGCACTCTGGGAACCGCCTATTCGTTCAGAAATGTCTTTCTGTAACTTACCCTCTTGCTTGAGGGTGTCAATGATGGCCTTCTGGACAGCAGTCAGGTCGGCAGTCTTACCCATGATTGTGATTTTGAGTAATGAACCAGGCTGGGAGGTTTTAAAAGCCTCAGGAATCTTTTGCAGGTGTTTAGAGTTAATTAGTTGATTCAGATGATTAGGTTAATAGCTCGTTTAGAGAACCTTTTCATGATATGCAAATTTTTTGAGATAGGAATTTTGGGTTTTCATGAGCTGTACGCCAAAATCATCAATATTAGAAACAATAAAAGGCTTTAACTACTTCAGTTGTGTGTAATGAATCTAATATGTATGAAAGTCTAATGTTTATCAGTACATTACAGACAATAATGAACTTTATCACAATATGAGAAGGACCTGTAGTTATCCTAGTGAATCTATAGTTAAACAGGTAACACATTCACAGGCAGTAGCACATTCAATGTCAAAGAGAGTAAATTGTTATTATCAGGAGAGGGAGAATGTTTTGAGTGGTTAGCAGCAGTGTTCAAGCCGATGGCCCCCTCCATGAGGCCACCACAGCTCAGCATTAGGAGTCATTTTATAATTTGTTGACGTTACAAACAGTTTTACAATATTTAAAGTAGCCCTGCAGGAAATTATAACTGATTAATTTCCTTTCCATTTCAGAAAGCAACAACCTACAATTTTATGATTGCATCCATTTTTACTTTCTCTCTTCTCAAGGCCAGTGAAGACACTGGTGACCGACCTTTTGTACCCCGGTGATCAAAAGGAGAGTTTACTGATGCTAATACCTTTCTGCTGTGGCAGTTTAATGGGTGACACACTAATTAATCTGCTAGAAATGTTCAACATGATGTTTCCT